AGTCACTGCCTGTTCTGGTTACCTAGTACCACTCTGACAAGAAATATACCACAAATAGGATAGCCTTAACAAAAAGGTGTTTATTCTTACAATTTGGAGGCTTTAAGTCCAAGTTCAAAGTGCCAGGCTCTAGGGGCTGGGTGAAAGCCCTTCAACCTTGGGGTCCAGCTCTGCCTCCTGCTCCCGGCCCACTGGAGCTAGAGGCGTTTCTTCATTTAGGCAGCTGGTGGCTGCTGAGGTTTAGAAGCCCCAAGGTTGACAAGTCAAAAGGCACGGTCTCAGTGTTGCCAAACCACAGGGCAGGCCATTGACTTAAGTCCATTGTAAGTCCTAAGGTCAGTGGAGCATCACAGGCTGCTGAGCAATGACACGGCTACATGCAGGATCCAAGCATATCATAGGCTAAAGACCATTCCCAAGACTTCTCCTTATATACAGGAAGCAAAACACATCCCAAAGGCAGCTACTCAGCTTGTGGTAGATCCCACCATGGAGTTGATTGCCAGTCTCATCATGGGGAATACTTCCACCAGCTGCCCAGCCACTCAGCCAGGCCCAGCCAAGTTGACACACAAACATAGCTACCACACTGCCTTACAAAAGGATATGACTCAAGTCACCTCCCTTACTCAAGTCACACCATTACTTGTGTCACACCTTCTGTCTTACAAGAGATAAAAGGAAAGAGAAAGAAGCAGAGAAGTTTTTGTCATTCTTAGGTGCCATCCAGTCATCTCCGACTCATAGTGACCCTATGTACAGCTGAACAAAACACTGCTCGATCCTGTGCCAACTCCACAATCCCTGCTATACCTGAGCCCATCGTTGCAGCCATTATGTCAATCCATTTTGTTGAGGGTCTTCCCCATTTTTGTTGACCCTCCACTTCACCAGACATGATATCCTTCTCTAGGGAATGGTCCCTTCTTCCAGCTTGACCAGAGAGCAGTTTGGGAAGACTGCTCTTTGAAATCTTCTGTTCAACTCTCTCATCTTGTCAACTCTTCCATTTGCTTTAGCTACTGTTTGCTCAAGGGCAAGTTTCAGAGTCTCTTCTGACATCTATTTTGGTCTTTTCTTCCTTTCCTGTCTTTTTAATGACCTTTTGCTTTCTTCATGAATGATGTTCTTGATGTCATCCCACAATTCCTCTGGTTTTCAGTCATTGGTGTTCAGTGCATCAAATCTATTCCATAGATGGTCTCTAAATTCAGGACAGATTTATTCAAGGTCATATTTTGGCCCTCATGGAGTTGTTTTAATTGTCTTTAACTTCAAGTTGAACTTGCATATAAGCAGTTGATGGTCTGTTCCACAATCAGCTCCTGGCCTTGTTTTGGCTGAAGATATTGAGCTTTTCCATCGCCTCTTGCCACAGATGTAGTCAGTCTGAGTCCTGTGCAATCCATCTGGTGAAGTCCATGGGTGTAGCTGTCTTTTGTGTTGTTGAAAAGAGGTATTTGCAATGAATAAGTCATTGGTCTTGCAAAATTCTATCATGTGATCTCCAGCATTATATCACCGAGGCCATATTTTCCAACTACTGGTGATTCTTCTTTGTTTCCAACTTTTGCATTTCATTCATCAGTGATATTCAGCATATTTTGATTGCCTGTTCAGTCAATTTCAGACTGCAGAAGTGGGTAAAAATCTTTAATCGTCATCTTTGGCTTTGGTGGTTGGTGCAAAAATTTGAATAATAGTGGTATTAACAGCCTTCCTTGTAGGTGTATGGATATTATCCTATCACTGACAGCATTGTACTTCAAGATAGATCTTGAATATTCTCTGTGACAATGAATGCCACACCATTCCTCTTCAATTTGTCATTCCTGGAATAGTAGATCTTATGGTTGTCTGATTCACAGTGGCAAAAACCAGTTCATTTCAGCTCACTACTGCCTAGGATATCAATCTTTATGCATTCCATTTCATTTTTGACAACTTCTAATTTTCCTACATTCATACTTCATACATTCCATGTTCCGATTATTAATGGATATTTGCAGCTTTTTCTTCTTATTTTGAGTCATGGTGCATCAGCAGATGGGGGTCCCATAAGCTCTACTTTATCCATATCATTAAGGTCAGTTCTACTCTGATGAAGCTGCTCTTTTCCAGTGGTGTTTTGAATGCCTTCCAACCTGAGGGGCTCATCTTCTGGCACTGTTTCGGACAGTGTTTCAGGGCTATTCATAAAGTTATCTAGTAGTACCTCAGACAGTGTTTCACTGTTATTCATAAGGTTATCGCTGGCCACTTCTTTGAGAAGTAGATGGCCTTTTCCTTTTTCTGAGTCTGTCTCAGTCTGGAAGCTCTGCTGAAACTCATCCACCATGGGCAACCCTTCTGGCATTTGAAACACTGGTGGCACAGCCTCCAGCCTCATAGCAACCCACCACAGTACAACAAACTGACAGACAAGTTTATCTCTCTTAGCTGTTCCAAAACTGCTCTGCCCACTCCTGTCCTTCCTTCTACCTGTTCTGCTTCCAGCTTCCTCTTATCTGGGCGAGGGGGGGGGGGAGTTGTCTCTCTTTCCTGCCCTTACCTATATCTAGCTGTCAGCCCTGGCTTCCTGCTTCCTCCTGCCTAGTGCTGGGGGGGGGGGGGTTCTCTCCCACCCTTACCTTATCTGGTTGTCAGCTCTGGTTTCCTACTTCCTCCTGCCTTTGGGGGTGGGGGCTCTTTCTCCTGCCCTACAGAGACTCCTGCCCTGCATTACCACCAAGAAAGAAGAACCAGGAATGGAGTGCATTCTTTGGACCCAAAGTCCCTGCACTGAGGACCTCCTTGTATTTTTAAGTTCTAGAATTTTCATTTGATTCTTTTGTTTCAGTTCTCTTCTGTAATTCTCATTCTTACCTGTTTTATTCTACATAATAATCACAGTTATTTTAAAGTCCATGTCTGATAATTTCACTATCTGGATTCTGTGCCTTTTTTTTTCCATTGCCTATGTTTTCTATTGATTCTGTTTCCTAGTATATGTGTTTCCTTTTGATTGAATGCCTAACATTATGTGTAAAGAAGTTTAGAGGCTCTGGATGATGTTATATTCCTCCAGCAAGATTTACCTTCTCCTCTGGTAGACAGCTAGACTTTGGGCAAACCAATTTAATGCAACCAGGGGCTGTGTTAGCTATAGGTTGAGTTGCAGTGTTTGCCCTTATTCCTATCTTGTAGACTCTCAGGAGTCCCAGCTGAGAGCCTCATATATTTATTATGACCCCTCCCTGGAAAGTCATGAACTCTGATTTTTGGCAACATAATGCCATAAAATATACTTGATTTTCTTTAAAATATAAAATATTCTTGATTTTTCTTTAATCTGTCCTTGGAAACTTGGTAAGACCACTAAATGTGGGGATTATTGTATTTCCTTCCTCTTCCAGGTATTAGACTATCAATTTTGTCATTCTCAGCTGACATCTCATGACTTCTGACAGTTTTTTGGGTTTTTTGTTTTGTTTTTAATTTAGATTTCCTAGTTTCCTGCAGGAGTATTGACCTACCACAGGGCAACTCTATCATGGCCAGAGTGGAAGGCAGTCTATAGGGTTTTGTGGTTGGACAATACTGGTATTAACTTTGAATATTCTTTGTTTTGAGTAAGGATATATTATTCTGAGTTCAACAGGATTTTAGCCTTAAAATGTACCTGTTTAACTTCCCTTTGCAGATAAGTAAAGGTTTTTTTTATTTGTTCTATTGTAGCTCTTTGTAAAATATTTTCTAGAGTTACTGGGAGGGAGAAAGGATGAGAGAGGCTTGTTTTTGATAGGATTTCACAGGAACGTTTGCATTATCTGTGTTTAGTTTCTAGTCCTTAGCACTGTGTCTAAGAGCTCTGGTAGCATAGTGCCTAAGGCACTTGACTACTAACCAGAAGGCTGGTGGTTCAAACCCATAAGCCACTCCTCGGAAGGAAAGTTGAGCAATCTACTTCCGTAGTGATACCACCTTGGAAACCCAAGGAGAGGTTGCTGTGAGTCAGGTCTGACTCAACGACACATAATAACAACAACAGCATCACTGTGTCTTAGTACCAAGTCTTAAATAGAATTAAATTAAAAGATGAATACTCAGAAGTCTGGAAGACTAATATGTAATCCAGAACTCTAATTAATATCAAGAGACCTATGAAGCCAATTGAGAAGTTTGTTGAGTAAGTGGAATTTGTGTTTGTGGAGAAGAATCATTTTGTCAGATAATTCATGGGCCATGGCTCCTATCCCATCACAGAGTCTCATTTCTAGTGATCAGTATACTCCTTTCCATTAAATCCACAGCTCTTTCTCCTAGACATATTGGTGTAATCTGGCCGATTTGGTGCTCTCTTCCTAATTCTCTGTATTCGCTATACTTCCTTATGGTACATTTTCCTCATATTATTCATATGGATTTGTATACATTGCTACCTCACAAACAGTCAGTGTCCTAATTTTATTAGTAGATAGAAATGTTCATATCTACTAATAAAAGCCTCTACAGCATTTATAGCCTCTCCAGGCTTTATAGCATCCCACCTTTTTATTTTCTATCTGAATGTCTCTAAAACATAAAGATATTAGCTTTGGTAGTTATTCTTAAGTTACTCTTTTTCTACCAAGTATTGACCTCTAGTTTCATTTGTTTTTTAAGACCACATCTGGGTTATTTGTTTTAAAGATCGTATCACTAGAATAGAGCAGGTATTTTTTTTTGAAACTTAGAAAGTCAGATAACTTTTCTATGTTCATCAAGAAAATAAGTTTTGTACTAAGGATTCCAACTCAGGTCTGTGACTTCTGGGCTCAAGCTCCCAAGCTCTCCTACTTCACACATTATGTAGTAGATCAGTCCTTTCCTGCGTGGTCTTCTATTCACCTCTCCTCCCCTTTTTTTTAATCTTCATTTCAATTCTGTGACATGTTTTTTAACATTAGCAGGCTCATTATCTCATCCCAACTGGATGTTTTACTAGAGTAAAATGAACTTTTATTTTCAATGTCTTTCAGACTGGATAACTATGCCCATGAGTAAGAAATCCACTCTCAAGGCAGATATTCCTGATGAAGAACTGGATCAATGGAAGAGAAAGGGAAGATTCACTACAGGTTGTCACTGGAAATATGATAGCCGGTTAGAAGAGCAGTGTGGAGGCCAGGAGATAAATTTGCAACAAGTGGTAGTCACTCACCAGAAAACCCTATTTGAGGTTGGTGCCTGGGAACATAATGAATCCGGGAAAAACTGCACCGTGAGCTCATCTTTTATTCAAAGTCAGTCTAGCAAAAAAGCCTTTGAGTGTAGTGAGTGTGGAAAAGTCTTCTCTAAGAATTCAACCCTTAAAAAACACCAGAAAATTCATGCTGATAAACCTAATGAAAATCTGAAAACTCCTATTAAAGAGAAGCGATATGAATGTAGAGAATGTGGGAAAGCCTTTCACCAGAGTACACACCTTATTCATCACCAAAGAATTCACACTGGTGAAAAACCTTATGAATGTAAGGAATGTGGCAAAGCCTTCTCGGTTAGCTCCTCCCTTACTTATCATCAGAAAATTCATACTGGAGAGAAACCTTTTGAATGCAACTTATGTGGAAAAGCGTTTATCCGAAGCATACACCTTGCCCATCATTATAGAATACATACTGGAGAGAAACCTTTCAAATGTAATACATGTGAAAAAGCCTTTGTTTGCAGGGCGCATCTTACCAAACACCAGAATATTCATAGTGGAGAAAAGCCCTATAAATGTCATGAATGTGGGAAAGCCTTTAATCAGAGTACAAGTTTTCTTCAGCATCAAAGAATTCACACTGGAGAGAAACCCTTTGAATGTAATGAATGTGGAAAGGCCTTCAGGGTGAACTCATCCCTTACTGAACATCAAAGGATTCATACTGGAGAGAAACCTTATAAATGTAATGAGTGTGGGAAAGCTTTCAGGGATAATTCCTCCTTTGCTCGACATCGGAAAATTCATACTGGAGAGAAGCCATACAGATGTGGTTTGTGTGAAAAAGCCTTCAGGGATCAATCAGCCCTTGCCCAACATCAGAGAATTCATACTGGGGAAAAACCTTATATGTGTAATATATGTGAGAAGGCATTCAGTGACCATTCAGCTCTTACTCAACATAAGAGAATTCATACTAGAGAAAAACCTTACAAATGTAAAGTCTGTGAAAAAGCCTTTATCCGAAGCACACACCTTACTCAACATCAGAGGATTCACACAGGAGAAAAACCCTATAAATGTAATAAATGTGAGAAAGCTTTCAACCAAACTGCAAATCTCATTCAACATCAGAGGCATCATATTGGAGAAAAATGATAATGATTGCAATTTATATGGAAAAGTTTTGAGACAGTATATCAATTATTAAATGTAAGAAAATCCATTCTAGAGGAAATGAAAGCTTACATCAAGATAGTCATTTTATTTATCAAGAGTCAAGCTTCAAAATATTGTGTGTTTAGGGAATTTGAGAATGGCAAACACTCCTCATAGTTTAGTATTGCTGCAGTTGAATTAACAGTACTGTTTAATCAGGCTGAATTACCAAGTATCAGAACCAAAACTGAGCTTCCTTAATGACATAGAAATTGGTTTATCAAAATTACATTTTGACTGTTAAGAAAAATTATAAAATTGCAAAAATTAAGGTTGAGAAGCAAAGAGAATAAAGTAAGAAAATGATCTACAAGCATTTCACTTGACTTCATTCTCTTATATAATAGGGTTGCCACCTCTAATGGAATCCTTAGTTCTTTCCTCACCCACACTCCAGACACCTAGTTTAAAGAAAATACAATCACCCATACATCAGCCTAGGAATTATTTTAATTATGCTTCCTATCTACTTCAATCCATCATTTGGCAGATCTTCCTGGTCTTTTTGTCCACTGGCTTCTTACCTTAATTCTTCTGGGACAGTTCATCTTCTTTAGACATAGCAACTCCTACCTGTTAATATCATGTCCTTTTTTTACCACCTTATTTGACTTTGGGGAGTGTGGTGATCTGACCTCATACATAGTCCATGATTCAGGATATAGCACCTAAACTCAGTTTTCAGAACCCAGGACCCCTGCCTAAGGGGCAGAATTTGATCAAAATTCTTCAGTTACCCAGTTTCTCTGAGCCTCAGCTTGATGCTGACTGTGGGATGATACCTACAATAGGGAGTTTAGTTTGTGGGGATAATCTTCCAGTTTTCTCCAATAAAGTTAGATACACTACCCACAGCAGTCAGGGGGAATGCTCACCTTTAGGTGTAGGAATTCCCATCTATGTAATTGTGGTGGTCTTGGTCAATACTACTGCAACCTGTATTCCCAGTGTGTGACAGACAAGAGGTTAGACCCCCAAAGCCAGTTCTCACAGTGCTCTAATCCACTCTGTTTCTTTTGGCCAGATAGTTATCTGTGTCCCCTGCATTGTAATATGCTTTACTACTCAAAGAATATTGAACTTCTACATTCTGGTCCTTGCCCTCCCTTTATACATGTTTCTGAAGGTATTAAACTCTGTAGGAAAGCAGAGAGCTTTGATCTCTTCTGTATTTGAAAGTGGTCGTTTCCTCCCTTCCATCTGGGCATCCCACTACTTAAAGACTATCACATTCTGACAGTGGTGAAAAACATCGATCAACAAGTGGTCAACAGCACCCTTTGCATTCTCTGGCAGGGATAATATCCATGCCCAAAAGTTTGAATAGTCTAGTCCTGTAAGTATGTTTCCTTCACTGTCTTTAATCCTTCAGTGCTTTCTGAATAATAACATCTGTGTGCCTTCACATGTAACTTTAGGGGACACTCTCCTTCCTCCACAGAGATTGGGGGAGCCTGTACTACTACAAGATAGAAGATAACACCCAATGAAGTTGGAAAAATAAGTAAACTATCATTCTGGGAACCAAAGAGGCAACCTGACTCCTACAGTACTGGACCTCAGTTCTAAGCCATGGGAAAAAAATATATCATGGTGGAACTCAGTGGACTGTAGATTGAACATCTTTGGAAGCTTCCAAGGAGCTCTGGTAGCATAGTGGTTAAGACATTTTGGCTGCTAATCAGAAGGTTGGAATTCAAACCCACCAGCTGCTCCATGAGAGGAAGATGAGGCAGTCTACTTCTGTAAAGATTTATAGCCTTGGAAACCCAGTGGGGGTCACTGTGAGTCAGAATCTACTCAATGGCAGTGGGTGTGGGTGGGTTTTGGAAGCCTCCAGAAGCTTCAGTGACCAAGTTATTTTCAGCTTCCATTTAATAAAGCCCACATGTGTGGGCAAGCGTCTCTTGACAGGTGATCAGCAAATCATACTTTCTCTTCTGTTAAGCTGAGTGTGAAGCAGCATTTCAGGAGGCTATTTGGTGTTATGGGAGCTCTAGTGGTGTAGTGCCTAAGGCATTTGACTGCTAACCAGAAGGCTGGCAGTTCAAACCCACCAGCCACACCTCAGAAGGAAGATTAGGCAATTTACTTCTGTAGAGATACCGCCTCAGAAACCCAGGAGGGGTCCCTATGAGTCAGGATTGACTCGATGGGAGTGAGACTTGGTGTTATCTGTGCCCTTTGTTCACACATGTTCATCTGCAGCCTCATGCAGCTGGCGATCCCATGTTCCACAATAAACTTGGAAAAACCATGCTCGCTGCCTCCAGTACTAGTCATATTCCCTACCAGGTCTCTTAACCATCCCTTTATCCTGAGTCCCAGAATAACATTTCCAAGCTGAATGTTTTTATTATCTATTTTGTTTGTTTTTAATGAGAGCTACTGCCACATAGCATGTACCTGCAGTTGAGCTGTCCCCTAGGGAAAGGCCTGCTTAACAGTTTAAGAGCCTCATTCCTTCCAGTGACAACATTAGGAGAAGTGCCTCCACTGAAATCATTGCAGCCTGAAACCTTCCATCTGAAATTACAATCCATTTTACGAGAGCTTTTCTCTGGCCAGGCTTGGATCTTTATGAAATTAGACCTCTGGGATGCCTCTATTAGGTATGCCTGGTCTCACTTGAATATTTTTATGGTAATACTGATTACAGGCAGTAGCTATATTCTACCTTATGATAAATAGTTTATTGTCTGATCTTGCCTAAGAGAGTCAGTGTTTGGCAGAGTGCCATTCTGTACTTATCTGGAGTAGCATGACGTCCTGGACAATCTGCCCTTCCCCACTATCAGTCCCTTTGGCTCATCCCATTAAAGTGCATTTTTGAGAATGCTGAGAGAATTTCTCAGCCACGATCTCTTCTGCCAGGTGATTTGTCTGGTGTTAAGTAGTCAGTAGTTCTTGGGAAACACTTCTTCATCCTACTCTCTTTCAGCCAGGGTAATCACAAGATACTGCTGAATCCTAGGAGAAGAAGTTCATTCCATACCTTGCTTTTCTAATCTCAATGACTGGCCTTGTAGGCACTATTTGACTGTGACAAGCTGAAAAGCCACTATTTGGACCCTTTAAAGTCAAAGAGTTTGCAAATGTTCCATTTTCAGCAGCCCCCCTTCACACATAGAGCCTATCTTCCACCACTCCCTGTTCCACACAGTGTACAAAGGCTCTGTTCACAGCACTTCTGTGATCATGCCATCAAAGGGTGATAGATCTGCATGCAGCAGGGGATGTGCTGGACTTAATAATGCTGCCAGCCTCCCTACCCCACTCAGCTGGACTAGATAAGAGCTAGAGAAGGAGACCTAGGACTCCCACATCAGAACTTCCCTTATGTACTGTGGAACTGCCCAACGGGCAAACTTGTTGAAAGTGCCAGTTCCACTCTGCCAGGGAAAGGGCTTGAGTAGATTAGCATCTAGACTTTGTTGCATTCTTCATGTCTTTGTGAACACTGAAACTAGACAGTAGATCGATTTTCTCTGTAGTGGGGAAATTGCTACAAGTTTCACCCTTTCAAATTCGTCATTCCTTCTCTTTTGTTAGATTTTCTTCATTTCTACCTTACTGGTTTGAGCTGAGTTCTCCCTGTCCACCTACATTTGCCCAGATTTGACAGTGACATCTCCCTAAGGTGTTGCCCTCCTCCACATACAGCTACTGCTTTCCAAATGACACCTTGGCCTTGGAGAAGACTGAGGCTTCTAGGTTATGGTGCCTAAGCTTCAGAGTCTGGGAGCAAAATAGCCCATGACTTTGGTTGTGAAAATGATTTGCTCTATATTTAACTCAAACAGTCTAAGAATGTCATAGCCTCCATCTTAATCTTTTCTTTCCACTTTCCTTTTGTGCTAACCTCCCATATACTACTGGATTAGCAGAACAATATGGAAACAAAGCTCTCCCACTGAACTTTATTCTGCAATTGGAAGATTTCCAGCTACTTGATGGCACATAACAACAACAACAACCTTACCTCAATGCCAAATGTATTTTTAGTAATATCCCTGTTCTTAATATTTTTATGCAAGTTTGTGAAGGAGAAAAAAAAAAAAAAAAACGAGACTATTGTTTCTCATTACTAAAGGACTTTTCAATTGTGCTTATGATCATAGTGCACATGCCAGTATTTGCTAGTAGTGACATAGCCCTCCATATTCTATACCCTATCCTATTTACCATATGTTCTGGTTACCTAGTGCCACTCTGACAGGAATATACCACAAATGGGATGGCCTCAATAAACAGGAGTTTATTCTTACAATTTAGAGGCTTTAAGTCCAAGTTCAAAGTGCCAGGCTCTAGGGGCTGGGTGAAAGCCCCTCAACCTTGGGGTCCAGCTCTGCCTCCTGCTCCCAGCCCACTGGAGCTAGGGGTATTTCGTCACTCAGACAGCTGTTGGCTGCTAAGGCTGAGAAACCCCAAGGTTGACAAGTAAAAAGGCACAGTCCTGATGTTACCAATCCACACGGCAGGCCATTAACTTAAGTCCACTGTAAGTCCCAAGGTTGGCAGAGCATAGCAGGCTGCTGAGCGATGACATGGCTACATGTAGGGTCCAAGTGTGCCAGAGGCTAGAGACCATTCTCAAAGCTTCTCCTTAAATACAGGAAGCAGACCACATCTCGAAGGCAGCTACTCAGCTACTTGTGGTAGATCCCACCAAGGAATTGATTGCCAGACTCATCATGGGGAATAACTACCACCAGCTGCCCAGCCACTCAACCAGGCCCAGCCAAGCTGACATACAAACATAACCATCACAATTCCACCCCTTGCCAACTTGGCACCTGTACAGATCTTCAATGGGTGGTATCTGTACAGGTCTCCTCCACTGGGTGGCTCCAGTCCCCTAGTTCCTGAATAGTGACCTCACCCCCTTGGCTGGAAATGGGCCCCGTTCCTCTCCCTCTTGGGCATGCAGCCCCACCCCCTCATCTTGGGCAGCGGCTGTGGCTCCATCCCACTGGCTCACATGAACGAGCAGCCTCACACTCCAGAACCAAGTTGGTGAAGGCCTAGCTCTTTGAAACCTAGGGGGCTCTGATCGTTCCACTCCCAAAGGCCATGTTGTTGTTGTTGTTAAGTGCTGTCGAGTCGTTTC